CATATATATATGTATATGTGCATATATATATGTATATGTGCATATATATATGTATATGTGCATATATATGTATATATGTATATGTGCATATATATGTATATGTGTATGTGTATATATATATATGTGTATGTGTATGTGTATATATATGTGTATGTGTATGTGTATATATATGTATATGTATATGTGTATATATATGTATATGTATGTATGTACACGTGCTGGTCATTAAATGAGAACATCATGAAAAAGTTGATTTATTTCAGTAATTCATTGAAAAAGTGAAACTTGTATATTCTATTGATCCATTACACAATGACTGATATATTTAAATGTTTATTTCTTTTAAAGTTGATGATTATAACTGACAACTAATGAAAACCACAAATTCACTATCTCAGAAAATTAGAACATTACTTGGTAAACTTTAGAAATGTATTTTCTATAAATATCCTGATGCATGCTCAATAAATAAATGTATAAATCTCTTTTTATTCTAAGTGGTCCTCTTCATGCGCACAGCGCCTGGCTCCTGCTTGCACCTTTTGAATATGTCAGCGGGATTTTCAGGTCATTTGCCAGAGAGGATGCTGGGAACGCTGCGTCCAGGCTCTGAAGGTGACTGGTGTCTGTGCCATCCATCACCGGCGCTTCCTTTAGCTTGATGCATAATTGAGCCTCTCAATCAACTTCCTGCAGCCAAACATGGAGTCAGACTGACGGAGAGTCAAGGTCACAGCGCTCGGCTTCTCTTATTTACTCTTCAGCTGATTGCCGTGCGTCACGTAGGACACGGCAGGTGGGAGGGCGAAGGTGCTGCTGTGGGCAGCCTGTAACTGTCCGCTCCGTCTGATTGGTGATAATAAGCAGTTTGAGTCCACGCCGCCTGCTCGGGGCGAGCAGCCGACAGGACCTTGAAGGCACGTCTCTGTTGTGATGGGCCGACAAACATTACAGCGTGCTTTATCGACACCGACTGCTCTGACACATCCAAAAGTGGCCCGATATATCTGCAGGCCGTCGCCGGCGTGACGGGCACGTGTGAGGGCGCCACAGCAGCAAATGTTTGTCTGTCCTCCTGTAGAGGTGGACTAGATGGACCAGAACCAAAGAGACGTTCTCTTCAGGGGGACATTATGGTGTTTGTTTTGTGTCAGTGGTCATTTTAAACCTGCTAACAGATTGCACGTGATGTTGTTTTGAAGATTTGATCATTTCTCATCTTAAAATAATCTAAAAACTCTTAGCATGAAGGTTGGTGAACAACAGGCCTCACTTCAAGGATGCTGGGTCTAGTTTTGAACAACAAATGTGTCTTAGCTTAGCTCACATGCTAATGGCTGTCCCCCCACTCGTTCATATGAACCATGATGGAGTCACATGGAGCTACAGATTACTGAGACTGATGGGATTAGATTTAATCTGTCTTTAATGGAAATCTGAAATGTTGGAGGACCTGGCAGCAGATCTTTTGTGGTTCTGTTTTTGTCAGAGCCTTGGAGCCTGGATGCTGAGAACCAGCTAGAAGTGTTGATGAGTTTGACGTGAAATGAAGCTGTACAGGTTGTGTTTAACTCCGCCCACTCAGCATGACGTGTTGCAGTGGAGGAATCTCAGCAGCTGCACCTTCACCCCAACATCTGTAAAGCTGAACTCAAAATAACAGAGGACACTTGTGGAACACCTGGCCATCCTTGATGTCTTTAGTGTTTACCTTTAACCTAGATTATAACCTTCTTTCTGAGGTCTCACCTTCTCTGCTAAAAGTTCTTCACAACTGCACCAAGCCACCGGCGACCTTCTGATTGAAGACTCATGGTACAAGTGAAGGTCAGACATTTAGTTTCAAACACGACTTTAATGCACCACTTGCTCTCACTGAGATCGGATGCTTCCCTCCCTCCCTCTCCTCTTTGCTGCTCTGTCTGTGAAACTGCTCCTGAGCCTCTCTTCACTTCTTCTGAACCATAATCATGGACTTGTTTTGACCAGTTGGTCCCTCAACTCAATTTACAACATTTCTTCGAAGAGAAGACAGGCTTTAGGCGAGCCAATTTGCCCTGTTGGCACGTACGCAGCTGGATATCTCATCGACTTGAAGACTTGATGATGTGTCTATCTCTGCTGCCATCTGTGGATTTTAAGGACGCATATTTGGGGAGTGGTGGCGCAGAGGTTAGAGAGGTGGGCTTGTGATCCGAAGATCGCCGGTTCACGCCCCGGCCCCGACAACATCAAAATTGTGGGTGGGGTAGGTGAAACACCCGCACTTGCCTCCACCCTCATTCGCCCCACCCTGGGCCCATGAGCAAGGCCCTTAACCCCCACCATGTGCTCCTTAAACAGGTCTCTCTTGAAAATGAGTTCTCGTGGCTCAATGAGACTAACCTGGATAAATAAAGGCTAAATGAAAAAAAATATATACTTTAATTGGATTTACGATAACTGGTTCCTGCTTTTTGGATTCAGCTGGTGCTGGTTTTATCTACACTCAAGGAAGTCGTCTGCAGCAAATTTGGACCCGATCACGCTGCTTGCCTTTATGATGGCTTGGTTCGTGCCTCAAGTACCCAGACTCAAATGCTTTGGGCAGAATGGATCAGATCTTGGGGATTTTACTCAGTTACGTTCCATCGGTGTGGCCATGTGTTTTGGACATTTCAGAACCGAGTGGACCAACACAGACTCAAGGTAGATGTCATTAAGTTCTGCCTGATCTTGAAGGCCATCTTATCTGAATTCACCTGGAGAACATGTGATCTGACGCTCACCACCACCTCCCTGAGGAATTTCGAACTGATAACCAGATGAAACCTGCTGAATAAACTTGTGTCATCATTTCAGGACTCTTGGATTCTCATAGACGTTATTTTTGGCCATTCCTTGACATCCCTTGAGAATGTTTATGGATCTCACCGGAGGACATTGACTGATTTTCCATCCTTATCAGAACTCTTACATTGACCTCGAGAGCATCTATGAACATTGCTGACCGCTCTTGTCTCCTCCGTCTGCAGAATGTCTACGTCACTATGTGCTTGTTTGTGCGAGGTGTTTTTTTTATTATTAGAGGTTTTTTTTCCTCAGGCAGGAAAAAAGTCTGATGGGAATTGTTTCGCCTCCAACTCCTCCATGTGTCCAGTTAACCACTGGTTTTGTCTGTCCAAACTGGTCTCACTTGTAAATGAGTCTTTTAGGCTCAATGTGATTTATCTGTTTAAATAAAGGTTGAATGAAAAAAAAAGATGAACAAACCAGCACATGCTGTTTTATTATATTCTAGTAAAATAAGACTTTTTTCATATTTGACTCTATTGAAGAGCTAACAGTGATGCATCACACTGCTTTACCTCCAGATGTTTGCTCATAATTATTTAACCCATTCAGTTTGCCATCTTTGCCACTTATTAGACACATGATGTGTTTTTAGCATTCATGTTCTTGTGATTTAGATTTTATTATTTTATTTTCACGTTTAGCCAGTAAGCAGACTCTGAACTGGTTTATTCCCACAGGCTCTTAGGTGGTTCTTGTCTGTGCATGGAGCAACATGTGGATGTGTTTATTTAAAAATACAGACTGATGTAAAGAATGAGCTGACGGTGGCGATGTGTCTCATGTTTATGCACCTTATGGAACAATTTCCACATTTGATGACACAATTTATTTAATTTCTTGTGTGTCTGAGACGAGAGCAAACACACGCCAGCGTCACGAAGAAGTCCCAATGCCGCCCCGTGTCCACATGTTTGTAACAAGGTGTTGGTTGTTTGGAAGCTGCCGTCGTTCTTCTCAGCACTTCTCAAAGCTGCGATCATTTCCTGCCTCTGAAAAGCTAAAAGCTCCTTTAAGGAGCTGGCGAGCGGCAGGCTTGGCCCATTCAGCCTCGGGTTTCTTTTCATTAGAGCCTCGACATTCAGCCCATTTCCCTCTAACTCAGCTGATTGAAGACTTTTTGTAAATGCACTGTGGAGTTTAATGAAGGGGGTGTTGGGGGTGGGGGCTGCTGCTTCACTAACAGGTGCTGCATTCTGCCTGGGTGAGGTATGAATATGGCCGTGTGCAGCTTTTGTTTCGATGCATTTACAACATAATGTGTCAGGAAAGTGTTGATGTAAAAAGCTAAAGCTGCACGTGCTCGTTCTCTGCAGTTAATCTGCTGAAAGACTAAACTCTGCACATTTATTAAGACTGCTTCCTCGAAGCTGGTACAGTAAGCTGCTTCCACACCTACAGTAATGATCATTTTTACAACACGTGTAAATTCTCAGCTGAAATTGATGAAGACGTTGAAAACAAGTTGAATATTGGCTGAATTTCAATGTTATTAAAAATGGAATATAATGGGACATGAGGAGCAGAATTATGGGAAAAAGCACAAGGAAGCATAAAAAGGCAAAATAAACGAGACATTAAAAGACAGACTCGATGAAAGCATGAAAAGATAAAGCTCTGAACACATTAAGGAAGCATAAGGAGACAACGACGTGAAACAGTCAACAGATACATGAGAAGTAAAAACACTAAAGGATGTTCGACGGGACACAAAGAGTGCAGCGTGCAAGATTTGTGAAAGATCTCGATGCACTTCAGTACTTTTATACTTCATAAAGTATCAAAGTTACAAGAACAATGACAGATTTAATGTTCAGAACACTTTGAAAATGACTGGAACTGCGTTGAATGAGCTGAAGTACGACTCGAAGCAACGTGCACGTTCAGTGTTTCCTGTTTGTTTTTAGATCACGTCTTCATGTTTCGGGCCGGTGAAAACCTACGAGCTGCTTCATCACATGACAGGAAAAGGACTGTCGGCCAAGTACCATTTCCCCCGGCAGCCATGTTTGTTCCAGCCAGGCATGGTCGCAGTGCAGCTCGTTCTGACCAACCACTCGGACCACAGCCTGCAGGAGATCCATGTCGGAGACCGGAGCCCAGCGAGCCTCAACGTCCACTGCTTTAACACCGTCGGTGAGTTCTTCCACGTTGTTCCTGAATTATTTTCTATATTTCTGCAGCAACACGACCTAAAACATCTTCAGATTTCACACAAGTCCTAAAAGTAGATGAAGAGAGCCCAGTTAAACAAACGAGACTAAATATTCAACCTTTTCATTTATTTATTGAGGTCGATGATCCGATATTAAATATCTGTGAGTGGTAAAATGTGTGAACCTCTGGGATTATCATTAATCTGAAGGTGAAATTAGAGTCAGGAGTTTTCAATCAATGATGATGATCAGGTGTGAGTGATCACCTGTTTGATCTAAAGAACAGGATCTATCAACGTCTGATCTTCACAACATGTTGGTGGAACAAAGAAGATCTCCGAGGAGCTCAGAAAAAGACTTGTTGGTGCTCATCAGGCTGGAGAAGGTCACAGAACATGTGTAAAGAGTTTGGACTCCACCAGTCCACAGTCACACACATTGTGTACAGATGGAGGACATTCAAGAGCATTGTTCCCTCCCCAGGAGTGGTGGACCAACAAAGATCACTCCAAGGTGTGGAATAGTGTGTGAGGTCACAAAGGAGCCCAGGGTAACTTCTAACACCTGAAGGTCTCTGTCACATTGACTGGTGTTCATGAGTCCACCATCAGGAGAACTCTGAACAGTGATGAAGGTTGAACAAGAAGAATCATGAACATTCATGATTTCTGAGCATGAACCAGGATATCTTGAACCACTTTGGCCAAAGCTAGTTTGAGAGTTTGGGCAGGCGGTGAGGGAGAGAGTGGACTATAGAAACCATCTTAGCACAATTATGTGTCATGTCCAATCTTACTCTGAAAAACTGCGATAGAGCGAGCGCATGAAAAACGAACCGCGAAGCACCGAGAGACTGCTGTCCAGCCACCCGAGTCATTTGAGGAAACTATGCTTTCTACTTTTATATTACTTAAATGTGGAATTTCCTCAAGTGAATGGTATCACCGGTGGGGTGGCCAAAGGTTAATCTAGACTGGCCCATTGTGCCTGGTGGTGGATAAAATGCTCCCACCGATCACCAGGATGTGGCACTGTGTGCTGCCTCGGACAAGTAAAACCACAACTATTTCTCTTTGTATACTCCAGGTAATAACTCCTAACTGTTTGAATATCTTCCATTTGAATATCTGGTCAGTGGAGGGAAGGAAAGTCACAGATACAAGGTGTTTCCTGACATTCAGGGTTAGACAGGATCTGTTTCTGAAAAAGAAACCCAGTTTAACTTTCAGTTTCTTTACCAAGTTTTCCACATGGAGCTTAAAAGAGAGATGTGAGTCGACCAAGATACCCAAATATTTATAGGAATCAACAAACTCAATGGGGACACCATTTGAGGATAAAATCGGAGGAAGAACTGCTGGGACCAACTTCCTATTTGAAAAAAGCATCCCTTTGGTTTTTTCGGCATTTAGGACAAGTTTGGGACCGAACAAATCTGTCTGGATGATGTTAAATGCAGATTTCAAAAGCTGGAAAGCCTTAGCAACAGTTTTAGCTCGACAATAAACAACTGTGTCATCAGCATAGAAATGTATGGATGCATCAGGGATGTTTTTGCCTACATTATGTATGTAGATTGTAAAGAGGGTGGGTCCTAAGACTGAGCCTTGTGGTACACCATTGTTGACTGTTAAATAACTGGAGGAAGTACCATTATGTTGAACACATTGCCTCAGGTCTGAGAGATAGTTAGAGAACCAACCAATGGTGTGTTCTGAGAAACCGATTTCTGAGAGTTTATGACACAAGATGTTCTGATCCACAGAGTCAGAATCTTTAGACAGGTCTAAGAAAAGTGCAGCACAATAATCCTTAGCATCCAGTGCTTCAACAACGTCATTAAGAACCTTCAGTGAAGCAGTGGTTGTGCTGTGTTGTTTCCTGAAACCAGATTGATGTGGAGGTAAGATGTTAAATGAGTTACTGTGAAGAAGAACCGTGCTGCCTGGACATTGTTCTAGATATATTGCTCCGCTCCAGGTGGCTGCATGTTGGAGCAGCTCTGTTTCTTTCATTCTGAGATTTTGCTTTTGGAAACTTTATTTCCTCTTTTTCTGGATGTAAATCTCATTTTTTGGATGATTGTTTCCTCTGGTATCAGATGCTGTGCAGCTGGAAGGATATTTACTGAAACTTTTTTAGTTTTGGACATTTGTTATGATGCGTAACCATGGCAACAAGGCAGTTTCTACAACCAACAGCAGCTGATTAACATCTCAAAAGCTCAGCTGTGCTCGAGTGCCTGACCACTGAGATCCTGGAACTAGCAGGAAACACGGCTCATGTCAGCAGAAGGACAGGATCGTCCCTCGGCACCTACAGCCGGCTGTCCGCAGCGACGAGGAGCTCAACAAGCTGCTGGGAGGAGTGGCCATTGCCCTGGGAGGATTTCTGCCCAACATTCAGGTGATCCTGAAGCCCAGGAGGCCAACCAAGTGCAAGTAAACGGATCAACATCTGTGGCCAGTTTCTTCAGATCTGCTATAAGACACAAGAGATCCTTCCCGCCCACAACCATCAACATCTAGAACAACTCTTTATGAAACAAGGAACATGAGCTACAACAACATTTAATTTCCCTCTGGGATTAATAAAGTATTTTTGAATTGAATTGAATATTACTGTAGATATTATTATCCTATTATTATACAGTAGTCCTTGGTTACTTTGTGGTTCGTTTATCGTGTACTTGCTCTATCGCGGTTTTTCAAAATAAGATTGGACATGACACAATGGGTTGATTGATGGATGAGCCTCACGATCAGCATGGAATTTTTATTTAAAATAAATGATTTAGCACCTGCTGCGCCTCTGTGCAGCCCACACTGCAGGATAAACTTCCTGCTTCAGCTGATCATGCAGAACATAGAAGTGGGCGTGGCCAAGAACACTTGCAAGTCTCAGAGGAGGCAGGGAGATGACATCATGACATCCTGTGTCTTGTAGAGCGTTTAGAGTTTAGAAACCTTGTTTAGAATATTGTAAGAATGTGGGAAGGGTTTAAAATGTCTTAAAATACATGCCGGTATACACCAGTATATTTAAATACCAAAACTACTTGTACTACTATTCCTACTTTGCAGTTTGTCACTTATCGCAGGTCTTCAGGCTACGGAGCCCCCACTATAAATAAAGGACTACTGTATTATAGCCATTATTATAGATATTACTATATTATGTAGTACTGCTTGTCGTTCATAAAATCTTCATTTAAGAGTGACCTTTCCCTGTAGTTTCAGTTTTGTATTCAAGGATCCGTCTGTTTTCCGTGTATTTCATGTCACTGCTGGTGCTTCAAAGGGTTTTTATTTTTTAGACTTCTCCTCTACGATGCCATTTTCACATTCAGATTTTAAATAATCATCAAGTTATGGAAAACATCTAATCCTGTTTACCATCAGTTCAGTAAATTGACCCGTCCATCCCCCGGAGTTGCAAACAGCCGATCTTACTCGCTCTAATCCCCGTTCATTAATATCGATCAGGACACGCATTCGAACAGCATCACCATATTTTTCCACACCGTGTGCGTCTCGCTGTGAAATGAGTCAAAGTGGGTTCTGCACGCGTGCACAAACAAACCCCAACACACTCGGACCGAAGCTGTGCGTTGAAGCATGTTAAAACTGTTGATTGCAGGGAATTGATTGGGCATTGAAGGAAGTGGTGCAGGCAGACGGTGGATAATTTGCATCGATCGGCTGCTTGCTGCAAGCAGGCGGCTGGATTCAGTTTGGATGAGCTGCAGCTGAGAACACGGGCCGAGTGTTCTGGAGTCCTGCTCGCTGCTGAACGACGATACCACCGGGGTTCGTTTTCATCCAGTAACGAAGCACGACGTACGTTACTTCTATAGCTGCTTGTTGCGACTGAAGCCACGAAACGCAGTTTTGGTCGCTGATATATTTGTCAGTCATTGGGCTGCAGCTGTTGGAGACTCGTTGGGACTAGACAAGTCTTCTGCTGCAGTCCCTGTGAACTCTGAGCAGCAGCTTTAACTCATCCCTGCTTCATGTGCATGTGCCCAACATGCACAACTTGAAAAATAAGTCAGGTGCCAGCTGCCATTTTGCCATGCAGGTCTAAGAAAAGTCCACATTGAAAGTTGGGTTTCGATGACAAAATTCAAGATGGCCACCGCCGTATATTTAAATTTGTATACCGCCCACTCTGATCATTTGAGGAAACGATTCTAGATTTTTTTATTATTGAAAAGGATAGTTTTCTCAATTTAATGGAAGAGACGAAGAATAATCTATTGCCGCACCCCCCCACCCACTGCTGCTGCTGGTGGTGGATGTATGGCTCCGCCCACTCGGCAGGATAAGTCGCGTTGCTCCTCCTCACTTGAATATCTGAGTATGTTTCATTAAGGCTCCCTGTTCAGTTCCAGTCCAGAGAAACACTCCTGTCCACAACTGCACACGTTCACCATCAGACCCAACGGGGGGAGGAGGGGGGACATATTTCAGAGTCAGAGTTTCTTTATTGTCATTCGCACCTCATGTGGTACATGTGGTGGAGCGAAATTATGTACACAGGGTCCCAGTTACATCCAACAATAAAATGTATAATAAAAACAGTAATAACATCTAAGATATGAACTAAGAAAAACATCAACTAAATATACACTAAGCACTCATAACATAAAACATTGAACATCACCACAAACATGAACATGAGTCTGTGAGCAGATGTGCACGCATGAACACGCATTTCACCCAAAATGAACATTTCTAATTGAAAGGTTCTGAAACATTTAGAGCGTATGAATATTTACTTGTGTGATTTTCTGTCCTCAGTGTTTTTCTTTAAACGTGAAGTCATAAAATGTGAGATTAATGTGAGTGATGCTCAGGAGGAGCAGAGGGCGAGTTTGTGTCTGAGCACAGAGCGGCTCCGATCCAAACCCAGATGTGCCATGTTCCAGCTGTTTGTGACTTGCCGTCAACGTGCGTGCTCTGCGCCCCTCAGCCTCTGGATGCTGATGTAGTCTTTGACAAGCCTGTTGTTCTGGAGATGAGCTGCTCGTCCTTCATCTCTTTCTTTTCGTCTCCTCCGAGGCTGAACTGGTGCGGATGAGATTGAAGGATAGATTTCTCACACATGGTGGCCTTGCTTTGTGATGTAGAAAACACTTGTCTGTTCCACTCTGCTGCTGCAGCCTCCTCCTCCTCCCTCACTCTCTTTATATAAATGTTTCACTCAGAGCGGTTGGAGCCGGGGGCCTCGGTGACCGTGTCCATGGGGATCGACTTCAGCGACTCAACACAAGCAGCAAACTTCCAGCTATGGTAAGACCAGAGGAAACATCATTTGTCTCCCACACAAGTCTTTGTTGCCTTCTGCTCAAGCTGTAGTCAGCCACATTCAAGATGGCTGCCACAGCAAAGAGAGAACTGAGAACTCAAAAATGACTTTAACTCAGATTTTCAGATAACCTTGATGTATCAGTAGCTGACACTGATCCCCAAATACTGAGCTCGAACTGATCATACAAAACTACAATGTTGTCTTTAATATTGAAATGACCTCTGTCAGCGTAACATTTTATAAACCACTAAACAGATTTTGTTAAAACTTTCAGAACATCTACACTGACTTTATTTTAGGGCTGTAACAGGAGCTTGCAAAGCTAAAACGTTGCAGGCTTTATCCTGATGCATGCTCAATAATCCAGGTAGAAATAATAATCCAGGTAATCCAGGTTGCAGGCTTTGTTTAGTTGTAAACTTGGATGAACCTCATAAAAGCAGCAAATAAACGTTAACAAACATTAATAAACATTAACAAACATTAACAAACATTAAGAAACATAAATAAACATTAATAAACATT